GGGGTTTGTCCCATATTTACAGAGTTGTCTTCCACCGAAATTCTGTGAAGATTTGGCCGATTCTGCCCCATATTGGGTAATACTCGCTGCCATTGTTGGTTTGATTGGCCATGAACCTGAAACAAACCAATCAGAATCAGAGGAGGGCGGGTCTCTTGGAGGAGTGTCGATTTGAAAGAATGGCAGACGCAGCCCGAGATACCTCCCCGCGTCCAGCTCTGAAGCGATAGCGGATGCAAAAGTAACGACAGGAGTGGGAGGAATCACCGGGGATCGCAGAGTGGCTGTCGCCTATATTTCCAATCGGTGCCGCCATTGTCTCACTTTACTTTCTTTCAACTCAAATCCCCCCTTTTTCTCCGGTGGCGAAAACTTAATATAAATAAACAACAGTATAGAAGTAACAGTAAGAAATGGACAGAATGAATTCTTCATTTGAATAGCTTTTGAGTACAGTAGGGTCCGGATCATACTGCCTGAATTTGAAATTAATCAAATTCTCTGAGGAGTTTGTTTGTTCATAATCTACAATACATTAGCTCTGGAACTAAAATAATAATAAACTTTAAAGATTGCCGCTACAGAAATGATGTGTCTCTGAGAAAGTGTCTCCATTGTTTAAGGTTGTGCAGCGAAAACAAGATGGATGTCGGAACGATAGCCTCGTTCTTCTTGATCATAATAGGTAAGTTGTTGGATGTTTAATCATTGCTTTTTAAGGTTCCTGAGTAATGGCTGAAAATATAGTGAAAAATATAGTTAGAATAACAAATCAGTTTAACGTGAAGCTCTTGACAAAATTTCATTCAATGTTTCTTTAAACTTCAGCTGCAGCTGCAGTGAGTACAACAGCAGCCCCAACAACTTTAGCAACAACGACAGTCGCACCAACAACAGCCAGAACTACAACTGCAGCACCTACAACTACAACACCAACAACAAACCCAACAACAAAAGCAGGGCAGCTGCAGTGAGTACAACAGCCGCCCCAACAACTTTAGCAACGACGACAGCAGTACCAACAACAGCCGCACCAACAACTGCTGTACCTACAACTGCAGTTCTTACAACAGCAGCACAAACAACAGCCGCAACTACAACTGCAGCGACTACAACAGCAAACCCAACGACGACAGCAGCACCAACAACAGCCGCAACAACTGCTGTACCTACAACTGCATCTCATACAACGGCAGCACAAACAACAGCAGCAAAAACAACAGCCGCAACTACAACTGCAGCGACTACAACAGCAAACCCAACAACTTTAGCAACGACGACATTAGCACCAACAACAGCCGCACCAACAACTGCTGTACCTACAACTGCAGTTCTTACAACGGCAGCACACACAACAGCCGCAACTACAACTGCAGCGACCACAACAGCAAACCCAACAACTTTAGCAATGACAACGACAGAAGCACCAACAACAGCCGCAACTACAACTGCTGCACTTCCAACCCCATTGCCTGCAACATCAGCAACAACTGCAGCCTAAAAAAAGACAACATTCTACACCTCTTTTATAATTAATACACTGGCGAATTACATGGTTGAAATTGGTACAGGGCCCTTATAAACTAATCCAACATATGATACATTACTTAGGTTAGTTATGGAGGAAATGGAGAAAAATACAGAACTCCTCATTTTAAATCTCTTCCATTCACCTGAGTTGATAGAACCCAAGTTATTCATCACTGTGTGAGGGAATACTGCCGTTAACCCCCCTGAACCTCCTATTTCTTATTTCTTACTAATTATTTACACAATCAAAGTGCCCAATGCACTACTTCGTGATTATTTAATTGTAATTAAGCGCCATAACAAATTGTAATTGGTTGCCCCACAAAATCAATTATATTTGAACCTTTTTACCGTACCTGAGGTAGAGGACCTGTGCCATCAAGTCCTTACAGTACAATGGCTAGGAGCAGCGGTATTACATAGAAAATGGTAAAAGTCGATGAGGTAGATAGGCAGG